GTTAATTAAATAATTGATTTTTTTTAAAATGCGAGTTAGACGTCTTTCTTTAAAACTCACATTTAACGTATTTTTAACTATTTTCGATATATGTTTGGACTATTCGATATACCAATAATGTAGTTATCGAAATATGTTTTGAGATGACATAAGCAATTTGTAAATTCGATTAATGTACAATTGTCGAAGAAATTTTAAAATTAGCATGTTATCGAAATTCAAATTTATTGTGATTTTGTCCCTATTTGGTGGAGATTAAAATCAAAATTTTAGTAAATTTTGATAAAAAGTTAAATAGTTATGAATTCCATGAAATATGTTATTAAAATTAATTATTATTTTTAATTTAGATTAAAATTTAGATTTCAATAGTTACCAAACACAACTTTAAAAACAGAACAAAAAATTCTCAAAAGTTGGGGCACGTGCCGCTCCAGGACCCCCTGGGTCCGCCCTTAACCCACATGGTTAAGTAATCTTTATCAGAAAGAATATAAAAACTGCAACTCTATATACTATTTTATCAAGTACCCTTCTCTTCAAAGTAATGGCCGATGAAAAATTCTGCAAAGAGTATCTGGTTCTAAAACCAGAAGAAGCTAGTCCCTTGGATTGCATCAGAATCTTGTGTTCAAGTGCATTACAAAAAAGGGATTTCTTCAATGCCTCGGAAGAAGCCACCGTGAGAGGATTTCGACATCGATGGATCATCTTTTTATCGGTCGTGATGCAGAAGCTCTTCCTTTGGTTGAAACAACCTGTGGCGGAGATAGGGTCACTGCTAGAGCTGTGGCTAAATTATCCGTCGTGTAATGGTGGCTACAGCATGCTTTTCTTGAATCTGCTAACAGGTTTACGTTCTTCATTACTTTCTATGTTGTTGCGCTGTTCATCCGTTATAGAATTCATCTCCTTCTCTTCCCGTATGATAAATGTGTTCGAGAGAACTGTAAGTATGGTTCTCAGAATGTATGACCGTTGCAGAGAACCGGAAGTAAGGTTCTCTTGCCACGTCAATAGTGAGAAGTTTTTATTCTGCCCATGGTAGATAGGAGATCAGATCTAATGAAAAATATAGAATTCATCTTCTGCTCCCAGTGAATAAGGTTCTCTTGCTACGTCGATGAAAAATATATTTAAGTACAAAACGAATCATATTAATTAAAACTTTGTGCATCCACAATATATATAATTGGTAACGGTGAGACCTGAATTCGAGATTCCAATCTAGTCTCAACGTCCGATGTGATATTGAATCACCTCGTTTAAAAACTTAAACCATTGGAAGAAAATATGTTATTAATTTAAGTTCTCGTTGGTCTAATATAATACTTTCCACTTTATGGTGTGCAGGAAGATTGGTGAGACCAGACAATTCATCACCAAATTTCAGATCAATTGTTGGAAATCTGGACACCAGGGTAGAATTAGACAGGAGCATTAAAAATGGTGATAACCGATACATTCCATCCCTGGCTATGATGGCATCAAAACTGTCCTACGAAAATAAAGCCTTCATCCAAAATGTAATTAGAGATCATTGGCAGGTAAATTTGAAGGCAGTATTTTGCATCTGAGGTCCCCATTTTTAATCCACTTATTTTTGAGGCATTGAAGTCTCCGACCTTTTAAAATAGACACATACACTCCCATTTGATTAGAAATCTAGAGTTTTTACGTCACAATAGCTCGACTTGCACATGACTGGGAAGGATACTCTTATCAATCCACTTGGTGTTGTGGAATTACTCATTTTCCAAATAATGGGAATTTTAGCTCCATTTTTCTAAAATTTACTCGTAGTTAATCCTTCTTGTGAAGTCGTTAATCTTGCATTTACTTGTATTCTTTTGTTGGAGGTTAGGTAAAAAATCTCTGGAAATATGTAAGTTTACTTTGTGTTTCTTACCAGCAACAGCATATGTACATCACTGATTTATATCCATCATTTTTATTTACTTTTTCCCAAATTGACAGATGAAATTCTTGGAGTTCTACGACTTTTGGAATGGTAAGTGTTAAGCTATGATCATTNTTATTTACTTTTTCCCAAATTGACAGATGAAATTCTTGGAGTTCTTCGACTTTTGGATTGGTAAGGGTCAAGCTATGATCATTTTTATTTATTTTTTCCCAAATTGACAGATGAAATTCTTGGAGTTCTACAACTTTTGGAATGGTAAGTGAGAAGCTATGATCATTATTAAAGTCCAGCCCATTTCCTTGAAACTTAGCTTAATCTTTATGTTGTGACAGCTAATTAAGGTACATAGGGACTATAAGGATTTTGGCTAAGCTAAAGGGTAATTTTATTCACCAAGTTTTTATTTGTTGCATGACTGTTTAATTGTACTTAAGGTCCTACATTTTTTTTATTGTAGCACGTATGTCCTTAACTTCTTTTCATCGCATTTTTATCTGAGTAATCTTATTTAGCACCACTAGTATTACAACACCAGTCTACATGACACTAAGTGTTATTTAATGAAATGTACAATTAAATGAATAATATAATTTCATATTTAATTGAATCAATTACATAATGACATATGAATTGGTGTTATATAGTATTATTCTTTTTATCCTCAACCATAGATTAGTTAGCACGTGTCATCTCTAATAATTGTTTCCAACCAAAAGTCCATTGAGAAGATGTAAAACAACTTATTTGTCCATCATATATATCTAAAAAGGACAATGAATACAAAATACGATAAAATACTTCTCTCATTTTAAACCACACAAACGAAATATATTGACAAAAGCTTCTATGAAAAATGAGATGTACTAATTAATGAAATATTGAAGATAAGAATACAATTTAGGGACATAAGTGCTACAATGATAAGAGATTGAAAACCTTAATTGTAATTAAACTATGGTGCAAGAAATGAAAATTGTGGTTCCCCTCAGAGCCACTGAAGTGAGTACTCGGCTGTAAATTTCAGGGCCCCGTGGAATTAGTCGAGGTACACGCAAGCTGGCCCGGACATCCACGGTTATAAAAAAAAAAAAAAAAAAATGAAAATTGTGGTGCGAATATAATTANGAGGTACACGCAAGCTGGCCCGGACATCCACGGTTATAAAAAAAAAAAAAAAAAATGAAAATTGTGGTGCGACTATAATTACTCACTACTGGATCTATAAAATATGTAATTATTTTTGCTTTACATAAGAAATATGAAATGTTTAATGTGCTTAAATTATAAGACTTATAAGCTAAGTCAAAACATTCTAACTTGTAGTTTACACAAAAAGAACAGTATAAAACATTAATTCAAATGCATATTCCCCAAATATATTTTTATTCCAACTTTAATTTATTTTATTTTTGTATTTCAAATATGATTTTTTATCTAGCTAACTACTGGATTTCCCAAGTTGTTTTCCATTATGGCCCTTTCTTAATATTTGTCCAAATTATATGGGATTGAAATGAATATGAGCTACTATGATATACAATAATTTCATCAACAACATTGAAGAAAAAAACATGTATGCAACATAGTTTTAAAACACTAGCTACAATATTGAATTTTTTTACCAAAATAAAAGTGCAAATATAGAACTTTTACAATTTTACATATGATTTTCTCTGTCTGTCTGTCTGTCTGTCT